TCGAGAAGTTCATTTGTGGTAGGGGTACGCAGGAGCAAGTGAATTTTGACTTCGCTGGTCTTCGCGACACGAAACAATGGATTTACAACATTATTAGCAAGCAGCATTTTCGTTTAGACCGAGTAAGGCTTTATTAACTTGGCTCATCATTACATCAAATCAATACATAAATTTCAGGTTGAAGGGCGTACAGTTCTCACCGATCTCTCGTTTAATGGGACATTTGTGAATCAGAAGCTTGTGGGAAAATTTCGTACATATTTGCTTGATAATGGAGATGTCATAAGTTGCGGACGTTCAGATTTGCATGGTAATTTTTTTAAGCATCGCAAGATGGACTCGTTGGGCTCTGGTGTGGAGTCCAGAGTTAAAAAAGTGGGCTAGGCGGTATAGCTGGGGTTTTGCAGCTGCCTTGCTTTGGAGCATTTTAAGGACCTCTCTGCCTTTGGTCAATATTTTACAGAGTAAATAATAACCCATGTGGAATTCTGATCGGTCAACGTTAATTAGGCGTGGTGGGTATATTTGTGTGGTTGTTGAACGAAATCTGAGGAACAGATGGCGTAGCAGTGGAGAAAAACCAAGAAACGGCTGGCAAGCCACGCCCACAGTGGGCGTGCGTCGAAAGTTAGCGATGTCACTGAAAAAGATCATAACTCGGTCCCAGGGCAGTCCCCAGATGAGGGAACGGCGCAGTAAAGTTAGCACAGGGCTGACCGACCAAACAGAGGAGACACACCCGAGATGGGCGGGGCGTACTTGAGATGGGCGGCGCTTCCCGTGTCACTGAAAAATAGCTATAACTTGGCTACAAAGCAGCCCGGAGACGGGAAAAACTGGGATAAGGTTAGCATGGGTTGGCAGAGCAAATGGAGGAGACACACCCGAAATGGGCGGGGCGTACTTGAGATGGGCGGCGCTTTCCATAAAAATCGGTAACTCGGTTCCCGAAAATGTTTAGAGATCGCAGAAAAGTACATGACGAAGATGAACATCTGGCAAGAGTCCACCATGTTTGCGGCATGCTGAGGCCCGCCCACAGTGGGCGGGGCGTGCATTTGAACACGAGGTACCAGTATAAAAAACCGTAGTTTGGTCCTAAAGCACTACAGATGGCAAAAAAGTGGATTATGGCCCCCGACTGATCACATGCAGGAATTTGCGAGGCACTCGCATTGTGGGCGGAGCGTGCGCCGAGGTGGGCGGAGCCAGTCTGAAAAATCCGTAAAACGCTTCCAAAGCACTCCAGACACCGGGAAAAATAGTTTAAGAGGGTCTTCGGTTGAG